TTTCATGATAAAATTGACAGTATTAAATTATTTAATTTGAAAGCCTATGTTGGAAGATCATTTATACTGTAAAGATTTATATGAGCCGATATTAGGTGATTTGACTAAACCAATAGATATGAAAGATGAAAACTAAAAGAAGTTAAGCAAAAAAATGCTGGCTATAATAAGAAAATAGGTTGATATTAGTGTGTTCCATCATATAGTATAAGAGGCAGATACACATTGGTTAAGAAAAATTAACAGTATTGTATGAGAGAAAAATAGATATGAATAAAGTTATGTTTATTAAAAAGCTTGTAACTTTACAGTACAGGGATGGACGATCTATTATAGAGCACTTGAGTGATTTTTAAGATATATTTAATTGGATGACTACTATAAAGCTTAAGATGGATGATGAAATGAAGGTATTGTTTCTTTTAGGTTCATTATCAAATAGCTGAAATACTCTAGTTGTGACTATTTTTAATTCAGCTCCTGATTATAAAGTGATATTGTAGATGATAAAGGATAATATACTTAATGAAGAAGTAAGGCAAAAAGATGTAAGCCCTGGTAATCAAGCTCTGGTCAGAGAGAACAAATGTAAAAACATCGACAGAGGTCAAAACTCAAAAGGTCATAGTAAGTCTAAACATAGATCCAAGTCTAGAGATAAAGTGAAGTGTTTCCATTATGGTAAAGCAAGTCATATAAAATGACACTGTAAAATCTTAAAGCAAGTGTAAAGAGATGAGAAAGGTAAAAGCTCAGATGATGACAAGTTACAGTAGTGAATTCAGATAGTGATTCAATTACTTTAATTTATACACATGATGATTGTAATCATATTGGTGATCTTAACATTAAGTGGATAGTTGATACAGAAACGACATATCATTGTATTCCTAAGAGAGAGTTGTTTATAACTTACAAAGTTGGAGACTTTGGTTGCACCAAGATGGGAATAAGAGTGTGTTGTAGATTATTGAGATTGATGATATTATTGTACAAACTAGTACAGGTTACATGTTGACTTTGAGGGATCTCAAACACATTTTGGATGTGAGAATGAACTTACTTGCTATTAATTTTCTTGATAAGGTGGGATATGAAAGTCGATAAAAGAATGAGCAGTGAAAGCTACTCAAAGGATCTATGGTAGTTGTAAGGGAAAAACTATATTACACAATGTATAAGATATATATGCAATTGAATGGTAACCAAATAAATGTTGTTGAGGATGATGCTTTAGCAAACTTGTAGCAAAATATGTTAGCACACATGAGTGAGAATGGGCTATAGGTTTTGGCAAGGCAGACTCTCATTATTTGACCAAAAGTATACCTTTTGATTCATGTGATCATTATTTATTTGGTAAGCATCGTAGAGTTTCTTTTCGTATGAGTTCTTAGAGAAAAGAAAATAGATTGAAATTAATTTATTATGACGTATGTGGTCCTATTGAGGTTGAGTCATTATGTGATAGCATGTATTTTGTTATTTTTATTGATGATGCTTCACATAAGACTTGGGTATATATGCTAAAAAATAAAGGTCAAGTATTACAGTATTTTCAAAAATTTCATGCCATGGTAAAAAGGATGACAGGGTTACCCTTAAAGTGTATTCAAACTGATAATGGTAGGGAATACACATCTAAAAACTTTGAAGAGTATTGTTTAAAGTATGAGATCAAGCATGAGATGATAAAACCTGAAACATTGCATTATAATGGTATAACTAAAAGGTTGAACCACATCATTATGAAAAAAGTCAGATGTATATTGAGGATGACAAAATTATCAAAGTCATTATGGGGTGAAGCAGTCAATACAACTTGTTATTTGCTTAACAGATCACCATTAGTTCCTTTGGGCTTTGACATTCTAGAAAGAGTATGGATAGAGAAAGATGCTTCATACTTTTATTTGAAAGTTTTTTAGTGTAAAGCATTCATGCATGTACCGAAAAATTAGATGTCAAAACTTGATAGTAAAACCATACAGTGTGTGTTTATAGGATATGATGATGAAAAATTTGACTACAGGATACGGAATCTAGTGAAGAGAAAAATAGTCAGAAGCAGAGATATGATCTTTCATAAAAAAGAAACCATAGCAGACTTTGAAAAAAAAGAAAAGACTACACAGGTTATTATTAAATGTGATGTTTCAATATCGATAGGGGTTCCAAAGGAAAGAGCCATAGATAGTAAAAATAAGCAAGAAACATAACTTGGATGTATGAATGAGCTAGCCATAGTTAGTGATGAGCCAGATGCAATTAGTTTTGAGCAATGGAAGCAATCTTCTTGACCTGAGAGTGTTGTTCAAGGTAAGCTACCTTCAGCATTAAGTGGTGTAGAGTTTCAGCCTAAAAGATCTATTAGAGAGCATAGGCCATCTACTAGGTATCTAAGTTCATATTTTCTTTTAATTATCAATAAGGGGGAGCCAAAGAGCTTTCAAAATATGTAAGCTACTCATGATAGAGAGCACTGTTTATAAGCAATGAAAGAAGAGATGGAGTCATTGTAGAAAAATAGTACTTATGATCTTGTTAAACTTCTAAAAGGGAATAGGCCATTGAAAAATAAATGGATGTTTAAGTTGAAAAAAGATGGTGACAAGCTAGTGAGGTACAAAGCTCGATTGGTGGTGAAAGAATTTTCTCAAAAACTAAGCATCGATTTTGATGAGTTCCATTTAAGTGGTACTAGGATTAGCAGCTAGTTTAAATCTTGAGCTTGAACAACTTGATGTCAAGATTGCATTCTTGCATGGTGACTTGCAGGAGGACATTTATATGAATCAGCCTAAGAGTTTTAAAGTGAAAGGGAAAGAGCACTTAGTTTGTAAACTGAAAAAAAGCTTATATGGCTTGAAACAAGCTTCGCAACAATGGTACAAAAAGTTTGATTATTTTATGGTAAACCACAACTATAAAAGAATGGTAGTGGATCCTTATATGTATGTCAAAAAATTTTTTGATGGTAACTTCATTGTTCTCTTATTATATGTTGATGATATGTTAATTGTGAGACAAGATGTTGGTATGGTTCATAGGTTGAAAGAACAACTGTCTAAGTTCTTTGATATTGAAGGTTTTAGGTCTAACAAAGCAGATTCTCGGTATAGACATTATCAAAGATAAGAGAGCTAAAAAGTTGTGGTTGTCATAGGAAAAATATGTTGAACGGATACTTAATAGATCAACATGTAACATGCTAAATTAGTTAGCAATCCACTTGCCAACCATTTTCATTTAAGTAAGAAATCTTGTCGGTGACTAAAGAAGAGCAAATAGCTATGTCTAATATTCCTTATTCTTTTGCAATCGATTTTTTAATGTATCTTATGGTTTGTACATGACTTGACATTGCTCATATAGTTGGTGTAGTGAGTAGATTTTTTTTTACTTTGGAAAAGGTTTACTGGGAAGTAGTAAAATGAATTTTCAGATATTTGAGGGGCACTTCAAAAATGTGCTTGAGTTATGAAGTATCACAACTAGTTTCAGAAAGGTTTACTAATGCTAATATGGCAGGTGATCTTGATGGTAGGAAATCTACTTCATGGTATTTGTTCACTTTTGTATTAGGAGTTATGTCTTGACAATTTAAGTTGTAGAAGTGTGTTGCTTTGTCAACTACAGAGGCTGAGTATATTGTAGCAACTGAAGCAGATAAAAAAATGTTTTGGATGAAACATTTTCTTCTTGAATTAGGGTTGAATCAGAAAGAGTATATGGTGTTTATTACGATATGTTGATTAAGATACTTCCCAGAGAGAAGCTTGAGCTCTGTAGTAACTTGGTTGAAATGAGTTTCTTGCCCAAGGTAAGTTCAAATGAAATTGCTATGGTGATGAATTTTCTCTTAATAGGGTTGGAGGGAAAGATTGTTAGAAAAATGAGATTCAGCCTCATGTAATTGGTTTTGGATCAATCAAAGGCCATAGGCCTTGGTTTTTCTTTTCACACGAAGCCCTAGCTACTTAATAAAAAAAAGAGAGGTGGGCTGTTTTAAGGTAGTGTCACAAACTAAGAAAAGAAAGAATAAAAGCTAGAAAAATAGAAAAAAAAAAAGAAGAAGGAAGAGTTGGTTGAACGGAAGTTGATCTATGGTTTGATTGAGTTAAAATTTTATTAGCAGGTTTATGATTCAGAGTTTTATATTTTGAACAGTGAAGATCAGGTTTAAAGCTCTCTAGGAGTAAATCCAGTGTATATTTATTTAGTCACCTATTTGTAAGATTTCTCCAATTATCTCTCTCTAGTTTTAGCTATAAAAGAACTTTGTATATCCATTATTTGATAGTGGAGGTTTTTTTGTGGTCCGTGGTTTTTCTCTCTACACTTGAGGGTTTTTCACGTAAATGTTGGTGTGCTTTAGTTTTCCTGCATTGTTGATTGTTGATTATTGTCTATTACTATTCGTTTATTGCGATATATTGCTCTTGCGTTGTTGTGTTTATTGCTTCAAGCCAACACAAACATGGAAACACATGCGTACTCCATAATAAACAATATTCATTAGAAAATGCAACCTATCTCTGCATCTTTTTAAACATACCTACAAGTAAACATGGTTGATAAATTGCACACTACATGGAAGTAGCTTTACTATAGAAATCGATGACTATTGAATGACATGTTCGTCCTCTTGATATTGCTCAACAAATACCAAGTCTGTCAATCCAATTCATCCAGAGTTTCAACTTAGAGTTCCATTCTCAACATTATCTTAAAAGTATGTAAAAGAATAATAAACATGTTGATACCAGCCATGCCGGATTCATACATGACATGTAAAAGAAAGATTTAGATACAACAAGGGAAACGGCAAGACATGGGTTCCAAAATTTACCAGGAATTAGAATAACAAAAATTTCAACGATAAGCACATATCAAAACTGACTCTAAATTACACTGCCACTTGTTTTTCTACCCTTCAACATTTTCATAGTTTCAAATTTAAGCAGCAGGTTTCATGGTTAAGTGAAGGAGTATTGAAATCACCTCCTTAAAGAACATTTATTATTTGGTGCACATGAATCAGCAACTTTCAACATGTGAAGTAATTGAGTTGATTCCTCGATACTCCTTGTTATGAACAGGTACACTACACTCCTCTCAACACACACCCTAACCAACAATAGAAAATAGTGACAGTTTTAGACAAGTCAATAATTTCTTAACTTCTATAAAAGTATCACAAATCGCTAACCTCACCACCTGAAGACCCAGACCAACAAGAACCTCGCTTATATCTTCAAATTTTGTCAAAAAATCAGTACTGAAAAGACAATCAACAAGTTCATGCCTCATGCAAAAGACTACTTAATCCAACCTGAAACGTCAAATGCGACACCAACAAGCAGCACATACAACTTTTCCTCACTGCTCAATGCTAGAGCTACTTTTCTGCAGATGGAGAGAAAGCAAGAAAGAAATTATTTAGAACGTCAAATCCTCAATTTACAAGAAAGATCTGGTTGGTGCAGGGTAATAACCAATACGAAGTGAAGCACTCCAAAACCATATAAAGAAATACAAGATACTTTCGGAAACACATAATGTAAACATTTATAATTTACTACAGGCATTCAAGGACTGACACAGGATAGTACATCTAGCTTAAAACACATATTAACCACGAAGATTAATACCAAAAAGAGATTAAATTTTTCTTTAAAAGAAATAAATTCACTTAAATACATCAACATGGGCAAAGACAATCACAAAAGAATAGAACAAATGGTAAATGATTGGTACAACTTCACATTAAAAATTCCTGATTAAGATAACAAAATTAAACTCTCTTCACTTTAAACTCGTTATCAAAATGGTTTCAATCTATTACCAGTAATGGCGTTTTGTTATCTCTAGCAGGAGACTGAAAAAGACCTATCACAGCAAATTAAAACCTTTTCCTAAAATTCTTTGACAATACTTACCTTTCTTTGCAAACAGACTGGTTGGTTCGCATTTACAATCTAAGTCACCATACAATTGCAGGGGTTGGTTCGCATTTACATTTTTAGAGGCGCTAAAGGTTTGTTCAGCACATGAATCAATGAAGCAGATGCCATTTTTGCTCCCATGGGATATCTTATTTCCCTTTTCATAGTAATTATCCTCAAAAAGATGCGATGGAAAATGCCCTTTGACATTCATATTGAGATATTCCTGGGCAGGTAGCCCATCTTCATGGTAATCATCTTCGCTACAGCTAGTATCACTATCATATGATGCCACCGAGTAGGACTCTGCAGATAACTGCAGAATTTCTTCCACCAAATTGTGGCAACGATGCAAAAGGTCCTTCTAAAAATGAGGTGGTGATCCAGGGTAAGCATTGGAAGAATTAGATTCCCCTATATTATCAATTGTATTCAAATGTGATACACTGGCATTTTCAACCATCCTATTACTTCTTTGGATAGCAAAATAATTACGCCGAGAACTCTCTGCTCCCATGGATCCGCTACTAGTCTCGTCATGCAAGTAGCATTTATGATACTCCTCCTTTATATCCTTTGTCCTCAAGCCTGGCAGAGACAGCCCAACAGTGATACCCGAGGAAATTATATGGTCAAAATATCTGTGGGCATGCACACCAGTAGATGTATCTGCAAAAGAATCAACAGATTCTAAAACAATCATGCTGCTTTCATCTCCTGAAGCTTGAACAGAGTCTGAAACATATCTTGAGCTTTCACTAGAATGCCTCCCGCTTTTCCCGCTTTGCTTATAATTGTCTTTCCCAGGATATAACATAGCCCCATTATAATTACCAGCATCTGCAAAATTCTCAGAAGCATGATCCATCCAATCCTTGAATTCCCGCAACCAAAGAATAGAGCGCTCTTTTTCTACTCTGTTCATCAAATCAACTATTTCAGCTTCATCCTCAGAAATGATACTCTCCTCTCTGCTTAGAATTTCATTATCGCACGATACAGAATCAAGGTCAGAACAAATGTAAGTGATTCTTTTTCGACTCTCAATACAAGCAAGTCGAGACGCCTTTATCTGCAAGAAGTTAAAACGTTAACCACCTATTAGCACCGATAAACAAGGTATAAAAACTATAATTACATGCACAACCAAAACACATCAAATGCATCCAAAAGACTAACCAGGGTGCCAAAACCATTTCACACAAGGAGGGAGGGAGAACGGATAGCATAAAAATTTGAAAATTGGGAAAACTTAATACACCCTCTTTTTGTTGATACCCCCCTCCCCTTCAGCATCATCTTTTGCAGGAGAATATAACCCAAAGCTGGAAGGTCGCTTCTGTCCACTGGCAACAATAATCTTCCTCTTCCAATAGTCTCTGGTGCTTATGTCCTTGTCATCTAATTTCAACTAATCAGCCATACAATAGAACACAAGAACAGCATAATTAACAGGATTACAAGATAGATAATAGAATAATGAAATGTATTAGCAAAAAGAATGACTGTAAACTTGAAACATAGAAGTCCAAGAACAAAATCATACCATCTGCAAACAGCTATCTATAAGACTTAAATTTTCTGGATGACTGAGGTAGCTGAATACTTGTGCACGATACCATCAGGCACAACATAGTGGATTCCCTTCCAACCACAAGCTTCGTAGAGATGGGAGGCCCGCAAGGAACTCCAGCTCTGAAAAATTGGAAATAATATTATAGGAAACATCAAGCCCTTCAAGTGACTTCAAATTCTTAATCCCACGCAATGTAGTTAGAGCATTGTTCCTCAAAACAAGTAGGAGACCTGCATTTTTCCAACAACAATGATGTATAGGTCCAAAGCCAATTCCTATATTAAAGCATTTAGAAAAGGCAAAACATTCCGGACATAGTGTCATAACGTCTAGATCCGGGGATCTATCGCTAAACATTGACTTTTAGGGAGTCGCCACCAATCTTTTTTATCTAGGTGCGATTAGCCACCTAAGGAATCTGTCATTTCAGGGAGCGCCTAAGTTTAAGGGCCTCTAAAAGAATAGGTTCAGGTCTACTAACCAGAACAGGGTTCGGGAGTTCGATTACGTGTGAAGAAGGTTATAGCACCTTCACAACGTCCATCAAAAGATGGTACCAGCTTAAATTTGTGTTATCCAATTAGCCTCAAAATTTTACCAAGTAATTAGTTGTTGGAAATTATTCTCAATTGACCATAATACTTTTAGCAGAAAATTGAGAAAATTCTCTCAACTCAAGAGTATACAAGAAAAACTACTGTTTCATTTGCAGAGGCTCCATTGTCGGATTAATTAAGGAAAAATCAAAATCAAAATCAAAATAGAAAGAAGGAAATGATGATTGTTCTTGTGTAGGGAAAATTGATACTTTCAACTTTTTTCAAAAATTATTTTTTTTTGAAATTTCTTTTTAAGGAAAATTGATACTTTTAACTTTTTCCCAAAAATATTTTTTTTTGAAACTTTGATTTTCAAGGAAAATTGATACTTTCAACTTTTCCTCAAAAATCTTTTTTTTTTTAAAAATTTATTTTTAAGAAAAATTGATACTTTCAACTTTTCCCTAAAAATATTTTTCGAAAATTTTGATTTTCAAGGAAAATTGATACTTTCAACTTTTCCCCAAAAATATTTTTTGAAAATTTATTTTTTAAGAAAAATTGATACTTCCAACTTTTCCTCAAAAATTTTTTTTTTTTGAAACTTTGATTTCCAAGGAAAATTGATACTTTCAACTTTTCCCCAAAAATATTTTTTTGATTTTTATTTAAAGAAAATAGAACAATATAAAAAGTGAAAATAAATAAAAAATAAAGAAAAGTAAAACAAAAATAAAAATAAGATAAAGATAAAAAAATATTAAATAAATCTAATCTAATAAAAAAATAAATAAAACAAATAAAACAAATAAATAAAAAAATTCCAAAAAAAAACCTAGAGCGGCTCGGCTATCGGCTCGGCTCAAGGAAGAGAAACGGCTCGGGGGGCGGCTTGGGAAGCTCGGCTTGGCTCGGAAGGGGGCAGGCACGCGCGGGTCAGGAAGCGAGTCGACGCTCGGGTCGGGTCGGATCTCGGTAAAACGCGCGGATCCTTTGGGTCACTTAAGGCCAAAACGACGTCATTTTGGGAGGGTATAAAAGGCAGTTCCCTTCATTTTTTTGGCATAAACTTTCTCCCCTCTCTCTCTTCCTTCCCTTTTCTCTTCCTTCTCTCTAAAAGGCCGAAGAACTCCGGTTGAAGATTCATCGGATTCTGAGATTTGTCATCGGAATCTGGGTTTTTTCGCTAGAAGTTCGTCGGAAGTTGGCCGAAAGTTGGTCGGTTTCTGGGAAACGTCGTCGAAAACTGGGCAGCTCGTCGGAAACTTCAAAGTTGGCCGAAATTTTCGTCGAAAATTTCAACTTTCGCTGAAAAATTCATCGAAATCTGGAATTTTCCAGAAATTCCCAGAAAAAAAATCGCCAAAAATCTTCAAAAAAATTCCTACTAACTCCAGAACACTTCTTAATCTTTCCTTAGCCTTCTATACTCTTCTATCTTTCAAATCAGTAGCTTTACTCACTTTTTTTTCTGTCTATTGCTTCTGTTCCAGAGGGTCTCTTTTATAGGGATTGATCAGGAGTTTCTGATCAATCTCAATTCCTCTTTGGATGGGGATTCAATCTTTGAATCCAATATGGACTATTCTGATTGAATCCCTATTCTCAGTAGGATTCTTCAGCTTTCAATCACAGCCCCAGAAAAAGAAAAATAATAATCAGATAAACAAAAAATCAGATAAACGGGAAAAAGAAAAAAATTATTAACAGATAATTAACAATCTGAAAAAAAAAATTCCAAAAAAAAAAACATAAATTATAATATAATAATAAATATATAACTATATAAATAAAATACAAATAAATATTAATAATAAATTAATTAATTAATTAATTAATACATAGTAATAATAAATAAATAAAATACATAAAATACAAAAGAAAGAAAAAAAATAAAAATAATCCCAAATAAGAACCAAATTGGGCTTATCCATTTGGGTCAAGCCCAATTGATCTAGGCCTGGACCAAATTGGGTGTCTACAGCTGCCCCTCTTTGCACATTTTTTGTGAAACAAAAATTGTGCAAAGACGTAGACACCCAATCAAGACTCAACTCAACATTTTCATTTTTGTTTTTTTTATGTTTTTTTTTTTACCAAAGCTCCTCTAAATAGAGGCTCAACGACTTTAAACAAAATAAATTGCTCCTCTAAACAAAGGCACCACGACTTTTGGGAAAGAAAATTGCTCCTCTAAACAGAGGCACCATGACTTTTGGAAAGTAAAAAGTAAATTGCTCCTCTAAATAGAGGCACCATGACTTTTGAAAGTAAATTGCTCCTCTAAACAGAGGCACCACGACTTTGGAAAAGTAAATTGCTCCTCTAAACAGAGGCACCATGACTTTTAAAAAAAGTAAATTGCTCCCTGACAATCATGTCCAAAGGAGTTGAAAATTGTGTTTGAAGGAGTTTCAGGAGATTATGCCCAAAGGTCTTATAAATCAATCCTGATACCACAAGACATCATATTTCAAGGATTAAGAACTTACCTGACAAATTTCTTCTCGAATTTGCAAGATCTCAATATTTTCATTTGCAACTTGTAAGACTCGCATCAAAGATCCTCATTTGAATTGTGGAGGCTCACATCCAAAAGTTCAAAGCTTTTTTAAAGGTTCTTATTTGGCAAACTTTGAATTCATATCCAAAAGTCTAAAGCTTTTCATTTGAATTTTAGAAATTCACATCCAAAATTTCAAAGCTTTTCATTTGAGTTCAAAGGCTCACATGCAATAAAACTTAGAGTTTCACATCTAAGTTCAAAGGCTCTCATTTAAAACATTGGAAATTCATATCCAAAAGGTTGAAGTTTTGTATTTTGGAGATCCACATCCAAAAGTTCAAAACTTTTCATTTGTTCGAAGATTCACATTCGATGAACTTTAGGGTTTCACTCCTCAAAGATTCTCACTTTGAAATTCAAAGATTCTTATTTGAGTTCTCAAAAATTCTCATCAAAACATTCACAATTTCTTTTTCAAGTGACTCAAAATTTTGCATGAATGAATGTTATGATCAAAGATGCAAATGCTTTCTTAATGATGCAAATGTGGCAACCTATATTCTTATAGTGCCATGTATGTCCAATCAAATGATGTGCATGTACTATTCAAGCGACGATGCCACCATGATGTATGTAATGCAAATGTTTATGCAACAAAATTCTAAATAATTATGGTGATATGGCTCTCAAAACTCCACCATTCTGCATGTCTTCCTTGTTCAGTTTCTCCATATTTTGAAACAAGTTTCATCAATCAATCATCACTTGACCACTGTTCATAGACTTTTCAGCACTAAAAATTTCAGAACAAGTTTCACCTACCATCACTGAGTCATTACTCATAAGTGTCTCAGCATTAACCATTTCAAAACAAACTTTGTCCACTGATTGCTTTCATCATTCAATCATAACTTGCAAGTCATATCGACCAATTCATCCTTGTATTTATCACTTGGTTATACCATTTTTCAAGATTTGTCTCATTATATTCTCCATTTGATCATATCACATATCCTTCCAAATCATCTCTTTTGGGTTTCTACCATTTCTTTAGCATCTTAGATTTCTTTTCAAATGAATGAAAGACTCTTTTAAGCACATATTCATTCATTCATTATCATTTCAAATCTTGACAAATATAATGCAATCAAGCATTTTCTGAATTCATTCTAGGGGTGTAACAATAAAAGAACACATGGTGAATTATGGTAAAGATAATCAATGAAGATCTATTTTGATACAAAACAAATGGGAAAAGAAATGAATTGGATACATGTCATTGGGATGGATGGTATGTCCAAATGATGAATATTCAAACAATTCTCAACATTAATCTAGGATTCTTTTTCAAAAACTCATTCCATTTATAGTTGAAGTCATCTTGAACTTGGCAAACTTTACCCCAGTCTTTGAGGGATCTTCAAATGTCTTTGATCTTCCATTCATATGAGCCATTTGACCTGGATCTTTCTCTATCAAAATCACCCTTTCAGGTTTTCAATTTGGATCTCTTTTTTCCATTTTCTCATTCTTTCTTTTTTTTTTTCATCATTTTTTTTCTTTTTTCTCATTTTTCATCTATTGTTGATATTTTTCATACATCAAACTTTAGAGCAATGTAGCATGATTCCATTGCTTCATCATAAGCATACCTTTGCTCAACATGTGATCATTCAAGTTGAGTATTCACACTTGATCCAAATGGATTTTTCAAGGTTGTAATGTAGGCCAAGATGAAGGGTCATAAAAAAATGGATATAATAGGCTCAAAACATGTATTAGAAAGGTTCAAAACCAAAGGATCATTTGATACAACTTGGCATTTTACCCCACATCATTTCACTACTTTTTCTTTCCTCACATAAAGGATTACTTTGCCCCAAGTCATGTGTGGCATTTTTCTTTTTCTTTTCTTTTTTTTTTATTTTTGAGAACTTTTGTGAATTTTTTTTTCAAAAATTGCCCCCCAATGTAGAGGGTGATCCTTGGTTGGGGTTCCTTCGAAAAAAAAATCATAATAGGCTCAAAGGGATAGCAATAAATGATTTTTCGAATGGTAAAAGAAATATGGCCATTTTTCATCTCAATTGTGAATATTTTTCTTGAACATCATCTATTGAACAAAGCTCATGATCCTGTATAAAAAAAATTACATATCTTCAAGACATATCTCTTTCACCTTTGGTAATGGCTTACCCTCTTTTTTTTTTTTTTTGCTCAAATCACCTTCTCATATTAATGTGGATGAGTTCTCAAAATTAAATCTTAGAATTATTGTTATCATTGTCTAAATATTCATCACCTGAAATTTAAGAATGGGAGTATAAAGTTATGAAAGGTAACAGAGCACGGAGTAATAGTCAAGTGAAAGAGAAAAATGTAATGAAATGCATTAACTTGCCTTTATTAAGATGATAACAAGTGAAATCATATTGCAAAAAGAAATCTAACAATCACTCAAAAAGAAATCCTAAAATGACAAAAGAAACCTTCAACCAGCCTTATCTCCATTCTTTAAAATTGTCCCCCTATGTGATTAGATGAAGAATCTCTATTGACATCTTGCCCTTCAATTCATTGTGACTCTTCGGACCTTTTCTGTTCTTGACTTTCACTTAGAACGCTAACATTAGGTGTTGTTGCTTTCCCTTGATCAAAACTTACCATTCCATCATTAATCAACTGTTGCACCCTATTCTTTAAAGCAGTACAATTTTCAGTAGAATGGCCAGAAATTCCATAGTGGTAGTCGCAGTGGGCTGTAGAATCACACCACTTTAGATAGGGTGGTTTAAGCTGCTCTACATGGCTGGGGGCAATCAAATGGCTATTATAGAGTTCTCGATATAACTCTATATAAGTCATAGGGATTGGATCAAATACAAGTTTTTCTCGAGTAGTTCGTTGTTCTCGTGAACCACTTGCTGGGTTAATAGGGCGAATTTGGGTTCTTGTAGGAGCTTGAATGTTAGGCTATATGTAAGATCTTAAGGGCTAAAACTTGATCGATATGTGGATGAATAAGATGATGTGGAGTTAGCTGGTATGAGTAGGATGAGGCATTATTCATAGCGGGATAGTATAGAGAGTAACCTTGGGATGGATAGGATTGATAACCCCTGAATTGTCGTCTATCAAAGCTCACAGCTTGAGCTTGAGCTTCTTTCTTTTTTGATGTCTTCTTGGTTTCTCTTCCTCTCAACTTGCCATTTTTTATGGCACTTTCAATAATTTCTCCAGAGATTACCATGTCAGTAAAATTTTTTGTTGCATTCCCTATCATCTTTTCATAATAGGAAAGTTTTAAAGTGCTAACAAACAGCATTGTGGTCTCTTTCTCTGTCAGTGGAAGTTGTACCTGTGAAGCTATATCTCTCCATCTCTGGGCATACTCTTTAAAAGACTCGTTTGTCTTTTTCTCCAGATTTTGTAAAGACAAACGATCAGGGGCCTAATCGATAATATGTCGATACTAACCGATGAAGTCATGTGCTATATCGCTCCAAGAGCGAATGCGGGTTCTATCCAGCTGAACATACCACCTGGCCGTTGAACCTGTAAGGTTATCCTGAAAGACATGCATCAAGAGCTTTTCATCATGAGCATGAACTACCATTTTTCGACAATACATTGTGATGTGAGTTTTGGGGCACTTTGTACCGTCATATTTTTCAAATTTCGATACTTTAAACTTATGAGAGATAACCATATCAGGAACTAGGCAGAGCCCAGCAGCATCAACTAACCCATAAAAGCTAAATCCTTCCACAGCCTGTAGCCTTTGCTCTAACATGCTAATCTTGGAGCTTTCCTGAACTTCCACTCTTATCTTTTCTTTCTTCTTCTCTTTTAAATCATCTAGATCAGGAATTGGTTCTGCTACCCTTTTCAGTGAAGACAGGATTTATATAGCTGTTATACTACCCTGGGTTAAAAGCTGATAGCATTTCAGGATATGTCGAATATGCGAAGTGTTGTGGTGGGACCTCTTGAACAGACTGGGCTTGAGGTGGGCCAAAACCTGGAGGATATAAAGGGTCAGCCACTTCCTGTAACGGGGGAACTTGTTGGCTTGTATCTTCTTCAACTTCTTTTCCTTTATTCATGTTATTAAGAGCCTTCAGAATCTTGCTCAGCTCACTTTCAATCTTTTCCTGTGCTTTTTCTATTTTTTCAAATCTATGAGAATTTTTTTGCTCCATTTGTCTTGCTCTAGATCTTGTGTTGTATCGATGGGCAGGGTTCTCACTAGATGGAGCTATCCTTGAACCTTTAGCACCATATCTTATGATTAGAAATGTTATGATATGCTTTATGTCGATGCTTTGATGCACTAATGAAATGTACATTTTCCTAAATGAAATATAGTATGAAATGGATGTAAATGATTATGTTAAAACATGATCATAAAAATAATGCAGATGCATACAATCAGACAAACAACATAGTTAGTTCCATGGATGAAATGAAAGTGATGCTGATGCATAATGTTACATATGATAATGAAAATGATACATAAAGTTAAACAACCAAAATGATTAGATAAACACCCTTTTTGTGTCTTAATTTCAGGGTATATCTATCATTGGGTAGAAAGGGCTCTATCCTATGTTTAGGCACTCTTAAGGTTCACTATATGCGATTTTAAGGGTCAAAGTCTAAAGGTCCTTAAATTGTTCCTTACATCCTTGTCCATCACAGACTAGTAAGGCACCCTAATCCTCACCCATTACAGGCTACAAGCGAAAAAGGTTCAATTTGAGTGGGAGTATTTCGTTAGCCACTGCGGAGGCATTAGACCTTACGAAAGCAATTGGTACTTTACTCCCTCCTAGAGGGACAGAGCTCGGGTATAGAGCTCATGTTATGCACATGCACATGAATGACATAATTAACAAAGCAAATACACATAAATGAATAATATCACATATAATACAACAAGGTTCAATTTTATTAAGCTTTTGGATAACACAAATTATTTGCTGGCCTGACTCTCAAAGTCCTCAGTGGAGTTGCCAAGCTGTCATAACATCTAGATCCGGAGATCTATCGCTAGACATTGACTTTTAGGGAGTCGCCACTAATCTTTTTTATCTAGGTGCAATTGGCCACCTAAGGAATCTGTCCTTTCAGGGAGCGCCTAAGTTTAAGGGCCCTTAAAAGAATAGGTTCAGGTCTACTAATCAGAACAGGGTTCGGGAGTTCGATTACGTGTGAGAAAGGTTATAGCACCCTCACAACGTCCATCAAAAGATGGTACCAGCTTAAATTTGTGTTATCCAATTAGCCTTAAAATTTTACCAAGTAATCAGTTGTTGGAAATTATTCTCAATTGACCCTAATACTTTTAGCAAAAAATTAAAAAAATTCCCTCAACTCAAGAGTATACAAGAAAAACTACTGTTTCACTTGTAGAGGCTCTATCGTCAAATTAATTAAAGAAAAATCAAAATCAAAATCGAAATAAAAAGGGAGGAAATGATGATTGTTCTTATACAGGGAAAATTGATACTTTCAACTTTTCCTCAAAAATATTTTTGGAAACTTTGATTTTCAAGGAAAATTGATACTTTCAACTTTTCCTCAAAAAAATTTTGTGGAAACTTTGATTTTCAAGAAAAATTGATACTGATACTTTCAACTTTTCCCCAAAAATATTTTTTTTTGGAAACTTTAATTTCGAGGGAAATTGATACTTTCAACTTTCCCTCAAAAACCTTTTTTTGAAAATTTATTTTTAAAAAAAATTGCTACTTTTAACTTTTCCCTAAAAATATTTTTTTTAGAAACTTTAATTTTGAGAGAAATTGATACTTTCAACTTTCCTTCAAAAACCGTTTTTTTATTTATTTTTAAGAAAAATTGATACTTTCAACTTTTCCTTAAAAATATTTTTTTTCTTGAAATTATTATTTTTATTATTAACCAATATTTTTAAATCATGAAAACATAAAATAAAATGAGTGAATAAATGTCATGCTACAACCAAAAAAATATCAACGGTAAAGAAAATATCTTACTAAAAGTCAGAAAGAAATGCTTCTACCCTTGCTCGTCTAAGTGAAGCTTCTCGATCAAACGTCTTTTCTCGCATCTTAGCTTCTTTGATGACATTTAAGTCTTTTTCTAGCTAAACCATTTGACATCACCTTTCCAATCCTTTTTATTATCCTATCACGGGTTTTTTCCTGTTTTCTCTGTAAGCTGTCCTTTGTAGATTTGCCAGTCACCTTCATCAGCATCATCCTCCTGCTTCTTCATAGCATCCTCTACCATGCCCTCAGCTTGTATCAGTACAATATTCCTCTTCTGGTTCCTTGATTGAATTCCAAGAGACACTGCATCGCCCTCTTCCTGCCATGGGAGAAATTGCCTGGATCTGTAGATGTACTAATTTATCCAGGTTCCTTTGGAGACTGCTTCCTTGCCAGCAGGCAGCAGGAGGCCTAGATTTGTCCCAGTGCAGGGAGCTTGCGCCTTTGTATCCCTTTCTTTAGTAGCTTCTTCACTGTTGGATCAGCAATCTTCAAACAAGTACAAGACCCAATCCAACTCAGACTGAAGGGCAGACAGTTCCTTCTCAAGTTGCACTACCCTATCGAGCACTAGATAGGATTAAAGTCCAGACACGTAAGAATCAAGTGCATCTCCAGCTCCAGTTTCTAATGCAGTTTCTGATGCCAATTTATTCTTATTATTCAACAACAACTCTTTCTTGCCTTCAATTTCTTTCCTAATGGCATCTCTTTTTCTTGCTTTCACTTGGCATCTGTCTTTTCTAATGCCCCTGTTCCTTTGTTAAGCACTGAGAGTTCCCTGACTCGAAATCTGGTGATGGTTCCAACGAAGACAAGGAAGAGAACCAAATGAAGAGAGGTTTTTGCTATACTTGCATCGGATGATCATCCTTCGACCTATGAAAATTAGCAACGTTCACTTCTTTCTTTGAATCCACAAATGCAAGCCGATTCTTCTTATTTCCTTCCTTTTTAAACTATGAACTCTCTCGTTCCAGATCTGCTAGCTGCTTTGAAATATGTCCCAACTCCTTCTTTAAACACTCAACCTCGAGATTCTTAGCATTTTCAGAACCATGAACTAGCCACACATGAGTCAAAGGAGTAGTACATTTATTTGGACTCTGATCTGGTCGTTGTTGACGATATCACTAAGTTCTGGAGTACCAATCTGGGTTCAAGAACAATCGGGGCACCAGAACATTACCATACAAACTCCACAAAATATTTCACGATAGGGTTCTGAAAGGGCGAACGGTTTCCAAGGACTTTCAAAGGGAGGAAGCCTTGCTATCTTAACACGGGGATTGATGATGTGACGATGTTGGTGGTGGTGGCCATGGCAAAGGTGGTAAACAGGAGGAAAAAGAAGGGCTGTTTCGGTTAGCAGGAGAACCAAAAAAGAGCAATATCTTTAACTTGTATAAGTTCCTCCAGGAAACTCACGTCCCGTTCTTCCCCATTTTTTCGCTCATCCCCTTTCTTTTGGTTTCTGTTTTTGCCTTTTCTTTTGCTACCTCCCCTCTCCTATTCGGATTCTCCTTCTATTTTTCCTTCTCTTTTTTTTTTCGTCTCCTATTCGGATTCTTCTTCTCTCCTATTCCGATTTCTCCTCCATCTTTTTTTCGTTTTATAAAACCATGCTATTTTTTATAGAATTTCAGTTCTATTCCACTTAGTCTTCCAATGCTAAAGATTAGCCATCAATCATGCTTTCTGATCATCATTCAACTTAATTTCAATCTTTTTTTAAAAAAAAAAAATAATCAGATAATAAAAAAATGATAAATATGAAATAAAAAAATCTAAAATAAAAATCCCTGCAACTGAATTTGAATTAATCTCAATTGACAAAGAATCTCGAACAAAATAAGTGTCTATGATAATATTTATTTGTTTAATAGTAATATTAGTTTTTTGTACGTTGTTTGAAATTTTAATTCTTTTATAGTTTTATTATTGATAACCTATACAAATTGTGTTGCCTAATATTAATAATGTTGATTTTATTATTTGTTGGTCATATTTTTTCACTTTTGATATTTTCATATAAGCCATAGAAACCATTCTTCAATTACAGTCGCATAATCCTGTATTTATGTATTTGAAGTTTTGAATCATTATGTAGATAGATGCTTGCTCAAGCTTTCTATGAATGGTTTGCATAATCTATTTCAAATTTTGTAAAACATCCAATCTTTTGTTTTTTCCTAGCTTTGTTATAGTTTGTGATTGTTGAACACACCTTTGTAAGTTTTTTCTTTGATGATGACATCAGCCATGTATTCATTTTGGTTGGTTATATATAGACCGTTGTTCTCAAGATTGGTATGTCATTCCTAGACAATGTTGGAACCATATAGAGAGTTCTAGGAAAAGTAAGAAGTATGTTGTAACCCTTGTTGTTTTACCTCTATTCTTTTCTCATGACTATTATAGCATGTTTCTAAACTTTTTGTGTTGCTATAACAACTACGATGACCTATCATTTAGTTCATTATTTTTTTGCTTAACTATACAAAATAATTCTCATTATTTAGATAATTAAATTTTAAAACTTCATCCAAGTTGATTGCCAACCAGACACCATTAGCATAGT